TTTGAAGTCATAGTTGACTCCAAGATGAACATGAGCTGGCAGTGCAACGAGGCTATCAACAAAGCCAGTCGCGCCTTGTCGTGTATTAGCAGGTTCATGACCAACAGATCGAGGGAGGTGATACTCCCCCTCTATGCAACACTAGTCAGGCTGCAGTTGGAGTACTGTGTCCAGTTTTGGGCGCTGCACTTCAAGAGGGACACGGAAGATCTGGAAAGGGTTCAGAGGAGGGCCACCCGCATGATTAGTGGTCTCCATGAAAGACCCTACAAGGAGAAGCTGAGAGATCTGGATCTCTTCAGCCTATACAAAAGACAGTTGAGGGGTGACCTTGTAGCCACCTATAAATTTATCAGGGGAGGACAGCAGGGAATTGGGGATGCGCTGTTTACCAGCGTGGCTCAGGGAGTAACCAGGAATAATGGGTGCAAATTAGTGGAGAGTAGATTTAGGTTAGACATTAGGAAGAAATTTTTTACAGTAAGGGTGGCCAGAGTCTGGAATGGGCTTCCAAGAGAGGTGGTGCTGTCACCTAACTTGGAGGTCTTCAAGAGGAGGCTTGACAATCACCTGGCTGGGGTCATCTGACCTCAGTCCTCTTTTCTGCCAGGGGAAGGGGGTTGGACACGATGATCCATTGGGTCCCTTCCGACTCTAGAATCTATGAATCTCTGCCAAATCGAATCAGGGTCCAAAGCTTTTCACAACCCTAGTAGATAAGTATTTATTTAAAATGTTCCACTAAGCATTGTTTTTTTTTTTCTTTCTTTCTATTATCAGGCTTTAGCTATAAATCAGACAGATGCATGGTCTGTCCATACCATAGCACATATAAATGAAATGAAGGTAAACCTGAATAATGGACTGACGTTTATGAAGCAAACTGAAAACAACTGGAAGGTAAATGTCCTTAACAGTGCCTCCAAAATGGCTCCTTATGTGTGGTTCTTTCTTTCCATTCAACTCAATGCTGTTGAGTCCTGTTTACACACCTTTTTATCAGATATATTACAAGTTACATAGTTAAACAGAAGAAGCCCTTGCTTCAAGGGGGAAATCTTTGAACATACTACTTAAGATTCAACAGACAGAAAATTTAGCAACTGATCAATAATTCAGAATACCATTCTGGGCATTAATCTTTTAAAATATAGCTTAAGTGCTTATGGCTGTGATCAGTAATACACAGGTTTGTTTTAACATCAACAAATCTCCTCCTTTTTATGTCTATTTGAATGACCACATAAAGACTCTTGAGGCAAGTTTTGCCATTGGTGTCAGAGGAATCAGAAATTCCAACTGACAGATGGGAACATTATTTACTTATAACTTTTCTTCTCATCATTCCTGAATTAGTTATTAGATGCAACCAGTTAGTGGCAGGGAACTCTGAGAATCTTGTCAATGGTGCAGTGACAGAAACAAAAGCTGCTTATTGCATCGAAGTGAAAGCAGCTGGGTTTCCATCATAAGGATGTGCTCAAGGAGACTGAGATGTCATTTAGCCATTCAGGATTTGCCCTGAAATGAAGCATTGCAGAAAATGGTCCAAATTCTACTCCATTACACGAGTGTAAATCTATGTTTAGTATACATCTGTTGTTTCAGTTAAATCATTCCAAATGTATGGTGGTTTGCATGAGAAGCAAAATTTCCTTTGTCTTTCTATGCACTTGGATAGCCCACAGGGCCAAAAAGCACCCAATACTAATGAATTTATTATTACACTGCCACTCTGAGATAAGGAACTGTTGTTATCCTGATTTCATGGATTGTAACTTGTTCAGTTTTTCCACAGGAACTGAACCTCACTCTCTTCAGTCCAAGTCCATTAGTTCAACCATAAATGAATTTATTTTCTTTAGGTGCAGTTGGAGACAAGCCTCTTTACACACTGGGGCGTAACTTGTTGGTAATTCTAGTTTTTTGTTTTAAATTCTTAACTAAAAATCATAACATAATGTATAAGGTGATCACTTCTATTTTTTTTTAACTTCTAAATTATAAGGTTGACCTTTTTTGGAGTTGTGTTCCTTATCTTGATTTAAAGAGAAGTCAGTGGGTCTGGATTACATCCAAAATGCTATGTTCTCCTCAGTGTGTGCTATTTCTCCTAATAATACTATGGTAAATACTTCGAAGTCTGTGTCTTTGCATAGAAAATATTTTGCTATTCATCAGCACAAGTCTCCAAAAGACATGGATGGTGTTGGTAGGTGAACTGTTTTAAATGCTACTTGCGATTTAGCTTTTAAGCAACAAATATTTGCCTACAGTGCTTTTATCTGCTGTAACTGTTTACCCCATATTTTATTGCACGTGGTAAAGGGAAATTTACAGACTTTCTTCTTAAACTACATTTTAAAGGTTGATAGGGAGCTTGGCAAAAAAACCCAACTTCATGAAAAAGTTAATGAATTTAGAATGTATTGCAGACCCAATCGAAGCCAGATTGTAAAGAAGCTCTGGAGACACCTGTGTTAACTTCTAGAGGAAAGGGTGTTAAAGTTTAGTTGTAAAGAAAATAGAAATTGTACTTGAGTCTATTTCTAGCTTATTCAAGATCTTAAATTGCCTCTGTCACTCAGAATATAGGAATAGTTTGTAGCAGTTCATTAAACAACATGCATGACATCTCTCATGTGGTTCTTTAGTTTGTTCTTCTGTGCAACATGTGTTATATTAGTAAAATCAAGTCTCAAAGAAGTGCCCATTTGAGCTTTTGTGCTTGATTTTTAATGATTGGGCTTATGGATAGAGAGTGTTCAAGCCTTTACTTCAGGATCAAATCAGGCATATCAAATCTCAGAGCCCTTAGAAATTCTACTTTAACAAAAAATGTAATGAACAATGCAGACAATATGGGTAGAATCTTTTTAAGCTCCTAAGTGACCCAGGCCTCTGTATCCTGGGTTACTTTTGGAACTGGATCTTAGACTCCTGTTAGCATTGCTCTTGGTCCAGAAAAGTCTGTTTCTTTATTTTTTTCCTGGCTGACTCAGGGATGTCAGAAACCCATTTGTCAACTTTAGCTGCATTTCACTAGCTCCCAGGACAGCTCTGCTCTGGCAATTATACATTAATCTTACACAAAACTTCACATTGGCAGCCCCTATCAACTGTTTTATCCCTGGGAAGGGAATCCAATAATTTTACTCTCTCGACTTTTATAATAGATGGCTGTGTAGAGCAAACCTGGTAATATCACCTTTGTGTCAAATGCTTTATCACCTATCTTATTAGAGTCCGTTTTGTAGTGTAATATTAAACAAGCAATGATAACCTTTTGGTTTATGTAGATGACATAAAATACTGATATTGCCAAGGACTTTGCAACTTCTCAAAATCTGATATTGCAGTAGCTACTATGACAGTGAACACAGTTTACCCTTGTATGAGGCAGTTGACTTTAACTATGCTACTGAGCATTGAATTATAAAGTCATAGAAAAGCAGAGCTGGAAGGGGCCTCCGTTGGTTGCCTACTCTAGCCTTCTCACTGAGGCAGGGTGGCTAGAGTCTGGAACCAGCTTCCAAGTGAGGTGGTGCA